TTGATCTAGTAATTCTACATCCAAAATCTACCCTGAGGGATTTATTTGAAATGCAGGCAAAGATTGTTGAAGGATACATCTCTCATTAAATTATGACACTTAATTTCTCATTTTTTCCCTAAGAATACTGGAAGCTCATGAAGATCAAAAAAAGCTGTGGCAGGCCCTGGTAGGGTCCAAGCCACAGAAACCAAGCGTCCTGCCCCTCTTCTCTTCCCAGAGCCATCCTGCTTCCCAGGGAAGATGTCAACATGGAGCAATGGCAGCTCCGACGTGTCCTACACCAGCTTCCTCCTGGTGGGCTTCCCAGGGCTGCAGGAGTCCCGCACACTCCTGGTGCTGCCCTTTCTCAGCCTCTACCTGGTGATCATCTCTGCCAACGCCCTGGTCATCCACACGGTAGTAGCCCAGCAGAGCCTGCACCAGCCCATGTACCTGCTCATCGCCCTGCTCCTGGCTGTCAACATCTGTGCCGCCACCACCGTGGTGCCCGTCATGCTGCTCAGCTTCTCCACCCGCTTCAACCGCATCTCCCTGGCTCGCTGTCTGGTCCAGATGTTCTGCATCTACTTCCTCATTGTCTTTGACTGCAACATCCTCCTGGTCATGGCCCTGGACCGCTATGTCGCCATTTGCTACCCACTCCGCTACCCCAAGATAGTGACCCGCCAGTTGCTGGTTGGCTTGGTAGGGGTGGCAGCTGCCAGGAGCACAGGCATTGTTGGTCCCGTGGTGGGGCTGGCCTCCTGGGTTCGCTTCTGTCGCTCAGACGTGATCCACCACTTTGCCTGTGAGCACATGGCCCTGATGAAGCTCTCCTGCGGGGACATCTCCCTCAACAAGACTGTGGGGCTCACTATACGCATCTTCAACAGAGTCCTGGACATGCTGCTACTTGGAGCCTCCTACTCCCGCATCATCCATGCTGCATTTCGAATTTCATCAGGCAGAGCACGTTCCAAGGCCCTGAACACCTGTGGCTCCCACCTGCTGATCATCTTCACTGTCTACTCCTCCTCCATGTCCTCATCCATCGTCTACCGTGTGGCCCGCACTGCCTCCCAGGACGTGCACAACTTGCTCAGCGCCTGCTACCTGCTACTCCCGTGTCTGGTCAACCCTGTCATCTATGGGGCCAGGACCAAGGAAATCAGGCAGCACCTGACAATTCTGTTCCAAAGGGCACATCTGCAGGTCCCCACTGAGAAGCCCTAGTCCCTGCCCTCACATAGAAAGCTTCCTGCCTGATTCTTGGGAACTTGGAGGTCCTGTAATCACTCTCACTGTCAAGTGGGAAAATGTGCAGGCAAGTCAACCCTGCTATATTTTGTCTTTGGCTATCTTCATTCATCTTTGCATCTTTTATCCATTTTCTGAAAAATAGCTACTCACCCAGCGTTACACTGTAACCAATGGCAATGTCAGCTTCTGTCTCTGGCTTCTAACTTTCCTCCCCTTCTTTCTGCATGCGATTTTCATTCATTCATTCATTCACTCATTCATTCATTCTCATTTAGTCATCAAACATTATACATACATCATGCTAACCCTATAATTGCAAAGAACAAAAATTGATCTCTACCCTGAAGGAGGTCCTAATCTAGAAAGCAGTAAAGATGTGTAATGCTCAATAATAGCTTTAAGTACAAAATGCTGTGAGAATATAGAGGAAGGACAATCACTAACGCAGAACACTTCACAGAGAAGGTGAATTTGAGTTGTGTTTGAAGAGTAAGATAAGTGTTTACTGGAAAGGAGGGAGATGGAGAGTAAAAATGGCATTCTAGGCCAAAGAAACAGCATGGGCAATAGGTAAGTGATATAGAAACTGGTACCACAAGTGGGGTGCTGTATAATAAAAACCTAAAATACATGACATTGGTTTTGAGATTGATTTGTTCACCCAGCCTGTCTTCAGCAAAGAATCCTGTTAGGTCAGTTTAGCCAGAATCTCCTTACCCTTAATGTTTTCTCTTAGTAATTTTCTATCCATTGACCCCTACCCTGCTCCTTGGTTGTGAATTCCCACTTTCCCCTGCTGTATTTGGAGCTGAGTCCAGTTCTTTATTGAGGTCTTTTTCCCCCTATTACAATAGTCCTGAATAAAATCTGTTTTTACCACTTTAACTACTGTCCAGCTCCGGTTTCTCTTTCAAAGTATTTCCACTTATGCACTCGTATGTCTGCCATAACCACGAGAACATGCTTGGGCTAGCCTTCTGGAGAAACAACAGACGCATTTAGCAGAGCTGGGTTGCCCCAGCCATCCCACCCAATGTTAACCTAGAGAAGCTGATAGCCAGCCAACCCCTAAACATGTGAGCAAGCCCAAGCAAAGTTAACAGAGCCACCTAGCTGACCAACTCAAATGTGTGAAAAATAAATACTTTTTTTTTGTTTGCCATTGCGTTTCTTTTTTGTTTTTAAGCTGAGCCATCCTGCCACTTATTGGCAGCTCAGCGGCTGCTCAGCTCAGGCTGGTAATCGAACCGCTGTTGCTCAGAGCCCACACTCTTGAGCGAACTCTTAACCAACTGAGCCACTCGGCAGGCCCGCCATTGAGTTTCTGTGGCTGTTGGTCATACAGCAATTTAGTGATAAGACGTAACTGACAAAATGACTAAACAATGGTTTATACACAGTGTGTCTACAATAAAAGTTAGTCTTCTTATGCTTGAGTAATATTCCATTGTATCCATGTACCACATGTTCTTTATTCAATCATCTTTCAAAGGATACTTCAATAGTTTCCATGTCTTGGCCACCGTAAATAATGCTACAACGAACATAGGGGCACATATATCTTTACAGGTGTTTTCAGATTTTGGGGGGTAGATAACCAGGATAGAGATGGCTGGGTCGTATGGTAATTCTATTCTTAATTTTTTGAGGAACCTCCATACTGTTTGTATGTGGCTGCACAAATCTACATTCCCACCAATAGTGTATGAAGGTTCCTTTTTCTTCACAGCCTCTCCAACACTTGTTATTATTTGTCTTGTTGATGATAGCCATTCTAACAGGTGAGGTGATATCTCATTGTGGTTTTGATTTGCGTTTCCTAATAACTAGTGAAGTTGCCATTGGTGACAACATGGATGGATCTTGAGACTATCATGCTAAGCTTTCAAAATAAGTCAGACAGAAAAAATCAGGAACCATATGATTTCACTCATATGTGGGATATCAAACTGAAAGCAAAAAATGAACAAGACAAACAAACAAGCAGAAACTCATTGACACAGACAACAGTTTAGTGATTACTAAGGGATAAGGGGGAAGTGGGGAAGATAGAAGAGAGTAAAGGGAATCAAATATACGGCGATGGAAAGAGATTTGACTTTGGGTGATGAACACATAATGCAATATATAGATGGTGTATTATAGAATTGTACACTTGAAATCTATATAATTTTATTAACCAATGTCACCCAAGTAAATTTAATTTTTAAAAAGTTAGTCTTATCACATTGCTTTAACATATATTGGGTAAATGTCTTTTTAACTGCTAAACGATGACTTCTATAAGTGTAGACACTGTATTTTAAAGATATCAGAGTCAGGTGGTGAGAAAACTTTATTTTTTTAATAGGAAAGTCATTATTTGTTAGAGAAAATACATTGACAAGTGCTTGAAGGCAGAAGATATTAACAGTGAAGAGTAGTACCATTTCCAATAAATAGCAATCTCCAATAAAAGGAATCAGGGGTGCTTGGGGAAATGGCTGATTCTATGGCTTGGATGTGAAAAATACAAGATGATCCTGGATTGTCTTATAGTGCCACAAAGTAAGAAAGAACTCAAAAAATGATGGGCACGTGTCAAAAGGATAGAGGGACCATTTGAAGGGATTTCTAATAGCCAAATCAGGGACAATTTGAGCAACAAAATATAGTAATGGATAATAACCTTTAGAATATGAATCCATAAGTCCATACTGATTTAGATAGATAGATGATAGATGATAGATAGATAGATAGATAGATAGGAAAGCTCTTCCTTACAGTAAATTCCAATTAATAAATGCAGAAAGAATAATAGATAGAAAATCACAGTAATAAATGTTTCAAGCAAGAATGATCAATATATGCTAAAATTAGTGGGCAAAAGTATGATGAGATAAAAGATATATACAGAATCTCAAAGTATTCCCTTCCAAGATACTTATTAATTACCAAGGGAAAGTAACTTTACAATTGAGAAATCTGGCAGTCTCCTATGCAAATGATAGATGATAACATCACCAGTAATGGCACACAGTGATATCTTGTGTCTTCTGAAATGATGCACTAAGAAGGGCACAATTCAAAAAACGAATAATAACAATAAAATAAAAATAATAATAATAATAATAAAGTAGGGCACAATATCACTTCTGTGGTATTCTTGCAAAAAAAAAAAGTGTAACCTGTTTTAAACAAGAGGAAACATGAAACTGACCCAAAATGAGGGACACTCTACAAAACAGCTTGCTGGTACACTCTAAAGTGTTAGGATCATGAAAGACAAGGAAAGCTGAAGAACTCTTCCAAACTAAAGAAAGGGAGACATGAAATTAAATGCAAACATGTAATACTGGATCCTGGATCAGAAAAGGGACAATTTGGCAGAATTTGGATAACATCTGTAAATTAGATAATAGTAGGGTGTCGATATTCATTTCCTGATTTTGATAGTTGTACTGTGGTTATATAAGATGCTGACATTGGTGAATCTGGGTGAAGGGTACACAGGAATTTTTTGTACTGTTGTTGCAACATTTTTTACATCGGAAATTATTTCAAAATTAGAAGTTAAAAAAATTTTAAGAGTAGGTGGATCTATTCCCTTTGGGAAATGGAGAAAATGTTCAGTTACTAGCAAGAAAGAAGATGAGAATGAGGACAACCCAGGAAATGGCAAACGTGTGCATACTCTGTAGTATGACCCCTCCCTCTAACCCCCTCACTGAAGGTCAAAAAAATCACAAAGCCACACGGAAACCTAAGAGAGCAGCAAACGTACGAGCAAAGACAAAGTGAACGTGATACAATAAGACAGTAATTTCCTGAAATTGTGGTGAGGGCTCTGTATTATCACGCCTCAGAGGAGGCTATGTGCATGACATACTATATGGCATGTATTACATTTGTTAACTATTTATTGGAAATATTAAAGAAAGATACATCTCAATGTTAAAGTCCAAACCTCAAAGCTTTTACAAGATAATAAAGAAATACACCTTCATGATATCAGGATAATGAGTATTTTTAAATAGAACACAACAAGAAGCACCAACCTTTTTATAAAGGAAAGAAAAAAATAATATACTTTTGACTACATAAACGAAAAGAGTGACAAATTTGACTATATTAAAATTCAGAACATTTGGTAATCAGAGCTGCCACTGTATGTAGATTATGTAGTAATCAGCACAAAGGCATGTGACAAAAGCGAGTGGAAGATGAAATTCAGCCCACGTACACTTGCAAAGCCATCAGAGAGGGAGAATTTTGTAATTTGGATTAGACACAGCTTCTATCAAAAGATACCAAAAGAGAGTAAAAAGCCAAGCCAGAGATTTGGGAAAGATATTTGCAATAAATTTAACCAAGAACTAGTATCCAGAATATATAAACAACAACTACAAAATAGTAAGAAACAGAACGCAATAGTAGTAAATAGGCAAAAGATCTGGGCAGTAAAAGTTCTTCTGGGTTTCTCTCCTTAAGCCCCTGGAAATGCCTCCCTACTGGGAATCTCTGCAGGCTCCTCCCTTTGAGCAACAGTCTACTTATCCATCCCTGCCCCTCGCTTCGTAGATCAGTGCCTTGGAACTGAGCCCTGACCTCAGGCCTTACCTTTTCAGAGGTGAAACCAAAGACACAGCAGGCCATGACTTGAAAGCAGGACACCTCTACAGGCTGCCATGGTGAGGTTGGGGGTGAGAAGACAAGAGAGGCATGGGGGATTTAGAGGCAGGTAAAGCTGAGACTGGACCTGAACTTCACCTTTCATCATTGACCAACCCAAGTTCACATCTCAGCTCTAGCATTTAATACCTTTTTAATTTAATTTAATACATTTAATAAAATATGACACTTTAAGAAAATCAGTTAGCTTCTCTCAACCTCAGTGTCCTCATCTACACACTGGCAAGGGTTAATAAATAGTATTTGTCTCTTAAGGTTGCTGTAAATATTAAAGAGATAGCATGTGGAAAACCCCTGGGAAC